GGGGGGGGGTTGCTGCCTGCAGAACAGGTCAGTGGAAGGGGCTGGGCTCAGGGGAAAGAGCAGGGTGTCAGAACGAATGGGAACTGGATTCCAAGGTCAGAAATAGGGAAGAGGTGGGCGGGTTCAGGGTCTGGGGCTGAGGGGAGCGGGCACAGGGGCTGGCAGGGACTGACCCCCGACGCAACCGTGGCTCCTCTACAGCTCCCGCGGCCGCCCCTTCCCTGGGCTGGGTCATGCGCTGCCCCAAGTGCCTTCTCTGCCTGTCAGCGCTGCTCACGCTCCTGGGCCTCAAGGTGTACATCGAGTGGACATCTGAGTCTTGGCTAAGCAAGGCCTACCGGGGACCCCAGGGCACCCCACTGGGCCCCACACCAGCCACCCCCGAGCCCACCCTGCCGGCTAACCTCTCTGCCCGTCTGGGCCAGACCAGCCCGCTGCTCTCTGCATACTGGAACCAGCAGCAGTGGCGGCTGGGGTCCCTGCCCAGTGGGGACAGCGCTGAGGCAGGGGGCTGCCGGGCTTGGGGGGCTGCCGCTGCTGCAGAGATCCCAGACTTCGCCTCCTACCCCAAGGACCTCCGCCGCTTCTTGCTGTCGGCGGCCTGCCGGAATTTCCCCCAGTGGCTGCCTAGAAGTGGTGGCGGCCAAGTGGCCGACTGCTCAGGTACGGACGTCCCCTACCTTCTGTTGGCCATCAAGTCGGAACCAGGGCGCTTTGCAGAGCGACAGGCCGTGAGGGAGACGTGGGGCAGTCCGGTTCCTGGGGTCCGGCTGCTCTTCCTGCTCGGGTCACCAGAGGGTGAGAGGGGGCCTGACCTAAGCTCCCTGGTGGCCTGGGAGAGTCGCCGCTACAGTGACCTGCTACTCTGGGACTTCCTCGACGTCCCCTTCAATCGGACGCTCAAAGACTTGCTGCTGCTGGCCTGGCTGGACCGACACTGCCCGGGCGTGAGCTTCGTCCTGCAGGCTCAGGATGACGCCTTCGTGCACACACGGGCCCTTCTGGACCACCTGCGGGCCCTGCCCCCTAGATGGGCCCGAAGCCTCTACCTGGGTGAGGTCTTTACCCAGGCCAGACCCCTGCGGAAGCCCAGAGGACCCTTCTACGTGCCTAGATCCTTCTTTAAAGGTGAATACCCGGCCTATGCCAGTGGCGGCGGCTATGTCATTGCTGGGCGCCTGGCACCCTGGCTGCTGCGGGCAGCGGCCCGTGTGGCCCCCTTCCCCTTCGACGATGTCTACACTGGCCTGTGCTTCCGGGCCCTGGGCCTGGCACCAAGGGACCACAAAGGCTTCCTCACAGCCTGGCCAGCAGACCGCACTGCTGAAGCCTGTGCTCTCCGGGACCTGCTGCTGGTGCGGCCCCTCAGCCCCCAGGGTAGCATTCGGCTCTGGAAACAGCTGCAGGAGCCTCAGCTCCAGTGCTGAGCCTGGCGGAGCTGAGGAGAGGAGGGCAGCACAGACCTGGCTGCACCTCGGTGCCTGTCTCTCACTCAGCCTCTCCTTCTGGGCCCCAGCATGAAGGAGGAATTCTAGAACCGTGACTGCCTGAGCCCCTCCTAGGTCCTCCCGGGCCAGGGGACGGGGCAGCCGGAGGGAACAGACTGTTTGTGTCTACTTTTTGTGTTTGAAAAACACGCACTCCCCACTCTGAGGCCTGGAGTGGTCTTTGCGCCTGTGGGGCCCCAGAGTAGTTGACAGAGCAGAGCCCAGCTGCACCCCGGCATTCACACTGGACCCCTCCCCACCCTTACTGGGCAGGGTCAGCTCTGCCAGCCTCATGGTCACTTTGCTGAACAGCAGTCTTGTCCCATCTAGGGGAGAACAAGAGAGCATCTCTGGAGGACCCCACCCCCACCCTGTCTGCGGATACGGACCCTCCTCTTGCTAAAGTTTCCGGGGGAAGTAGATATCTCAACAGCCTGGCCTTCTTTATCTAGAGTGGAGAAACAAGGTCCCAAACTAGTCATGCTGGGCTCTCCTCCCACCTCCCAAACTCCAGGAAACAGACCAGCAGTGGCACAGAGCCAAACACAGAGAGTTTATTGGCCACCTGCTGACCACCTCTCACTTTGAGGGAGTGACTTCCACAGGCTGACCCGCCACGCCCACCCCAGAGGGGTTTCTAGTCCTGGAGGCGTCCTGGCCCAGCCCCTGGGAGAAGGCACTGTAACAGGCGAGGAGGGGGCTGACGGAGCCCCCCCCACCCCCACCCAGGGTGACAGCCTGGAGGAGTGGAGATGGTTGGCTGGAGTCCTGGCCCCAGTATTTCAGAGGGGGCTGGCTGGGGAAGCAGGGTGGCATCCTGCAGCTCCCTGGGCACCCCCCAGAATGGGGCTGCCCCTCGGGGGAGTTGAGGTGGGTGGGGGTGGGCTGGGGCAAGCGGGCCTCACTTCTCGAAGTGGTCCAGGGGGTAGTGCTCGCCGTAGGCCTGGAGGTGCCGGGCCAGGGACTCCTGCTGCTTGCGAAGCTGGGCCGGCATCTCCTGGTACACGTCAGAGAAGAGCAGGTTGGGGTTGGGCTTCGGCTTCCGCTCCGCCTGCTCAAAGGCCTCCATCACCTGTGGAGGGACGTGGGACAGTAGACAGGCAGCCGGCTCCCCACCCCCGACCTGTGGGACCCCATTGAGGGGTCAACCCCCCCTGAGCTGCTGCCTTCCCATCTGGACGACGGAGGAGATGAAGACCCAACAGTGCTAAGAACCAGCAGCCAGATCAACATCCCCCAAGCCCGGCCTCCCCTCCCCGGCAAGACCAGGCGCTGCACGAAGTACAGGAATCGGTTCAGCCTCTTGGCACAGGCAGAACCAGGCAGTAGGCAGCTCAGAGGGGAGGGAACCGAGGCATGGAGAAGAGGGGGTACGCCACGACAATGTCCTCAGGGCCCGGGCCAGGGTCTGCCCTTACCACTGGGCACACAGCCCTGGCTCCAGACACCCAGGCCGAGGAGGGCGGCACTTGGACCCGAGTGGGACGCTCACAGTGCACATGGATTAAGTCACCTAATCTTAATCACCCTCTGACAGCGACACCCCAGTGTCGCTCTTCAGATAGGAGGGCGTGGAGGGCAGACATCATACCAAGGACACAGTAGAAACGCATGTGCCCAGGCAGCCTGATGCCACAGGCCACGCTTAGAGACATCCCTGGAGCTGTCCCCAAGTCTCCCAGTTCAATGTCCCCCAAACCCAGCCTCTCCATCCCTCCAGAGTTCTTCACCCAGGCACCACCCCCGAACATCCCCCCGCCCCCCACACCGGGGCCTGGGTTCCAACAGAGGGGGGTCCCCACCTTCTTGCGGGACTGCTTTCTCCAGGCCTTCTCCTGCTCGTCGTCCCACCAGCCTCGGCCCTGCAGGTAGTGCCGCAGCCGGGAGATGGGGTGGTCCTGCTTGTCCCAGTAATTGACCTCGTCCACCGAGCGGTAGGCCGAGCTGTCGTCACTGGTGCTGTGGTGCCCGATCCTGCCAGCGGGAGGGAGCCCAGGGTCAGGTTGAAGCCTCCTGGTGCGGGTTCAGGAGGGAGGGGGGCGGACTAGGGGAGAAGGGCCGGCACTGGAACAAAGGCAAGGACGGGGAGCCAGCGTGGGTGATGGGGTCATGCTCTGGGGACAGTGACCAGTGCAGGGCAGATGCTGTCAAGGCAGGGAGGAGGACAGGAGGCAGGCACCTGTAGGTCATGGCCTCAATGAGGAAGGGCTGGTTCTCAGCCACGGCCCGCCGCCGGGCCTCCTTGGTGGCGTTGTACACGGCAAACACATCGTTGCCGTCCACGCGGATGGACATGATGCCGTAGCCCGGGCCTCGAGCAGCTGTAGGGACAGAGGCAGGTCAGGCCCCAGGGCTCAGATGAACAGAGTGGGGAGGGGGGAGGAAGGAGAGGGGAGCAAGCAAAACAGCGTCCCTGCGACCACCCTTGTGCCAGACTCCACAGGGAAAGGACTGGGCGGGGCGGGGGGGGGGGAGCATGAGAGCAGGTGGGGGCGCAGCTCACAGGCCCATACCGATGCCGTCCCCGCGGTACTGCTCAGAGGTGGGCGTGGAGATGGCATAGCCGTTGTTCCGGCAGAAGAAGATGACCGGGCACTCGAGGGTGGCGGCGAAGTTGAAGCCGGCGTGGGCATCCCCCTCGCTGGCCGCCCCCTCCCCGAAGTAACAGATGACCACTCTGTTGGCGTTGGCACGCTTGGCCGCATAGGCCGCCCCCACCGCTGCAGGGGGAGAGGGGGCTGAGCAGGGGCAGAGCCACACACTCCCCCCACCAGGCTCTGGCCTCTCAGCCGAGGGCCGCCCTGTCCTTCCACTTGGGCGGCCTCCTCTCTGACTCCTAGATGTGCCATTACCCACACCACTGCCACCTTCAAAACACAGCTAGAATCTGACCCCTTCCCACCTGTTCAGGGCAGAATGCCCACCCAGTCACCTCTTGCAGCCTCCCAGCAGCCTCCTCACTGGCGCCCCACCCCACCGCTGGCTCCCACCTGCTCCCCTGGGGCGGCCAGAGGTCAGTTAAAATGTGAACCAGGCTGACATTCCACCCCAGCGACTCTCGCCCTGCCCCCTGCGGCCCCCCTTCCGCTCCAGGCAAAAGTCAAAGGCCCAGATTCCCCTGGATCTGCACCCTCCCCGCAGCTCCCCAGCCCCTCCAGACCTCTCCTACACCTGCCCCGCAAGCAAGCAGGCCGTCCAGCAGGCACTTGCCTCAAGATCCCACATGGCTCCCTTCCCCCTACCCCCACCGCAGTCTGTGCTGAAATGTCCCCTCTGATGCAACCCAGGCCTTCCTCCCTCACACCCACTCCCTCTGGCTTTAGTTGTCCCTGCGGGACTCCTCACCCGACGCACTTCTCGTGCTGCTCCCTCATGCTTACTGTTTGTCTCCTTTCCTCTACCCTGGTGTCAGCCCCAGCGGGACTGCGGTTCCTGTCTCTGGCTCACTGTGCCTAGAATGGTGCCCACGTAGCAGAGACTTCCTACGTGTGGCCGCTGGGCGGCTTAACAGTACTCAAATGGAAGGTAAGGGCCAGGGCCCAGCCTTACGGAAACCCTGCCCACCTGGAGGGAACGTGCCACCTCCTCTCACAGAGCACCAGGAGCCAACACATCTGGACGGGTCTGCCAACCAGCCCACTGCTAAGCCCCACCGACACACCAACGCATGTATCTTGGCCACCTCGGAGCAGAGAGCCGCGGCCTAGCCTGGCCCTCGGCCAGACCGTACGGTCCAGAGGGCAGGGAGCGAGGCTGGGTCCCATGGTCTCTGTGCTGTGTGGGTGCAGGCCTGGCCCCTGAGGGGTCTGCTTCTCAGCTGTCACCTTTGACAAAAGCAACTCGGACCACTCTAGGCACCATGGGCCTCCAGAGTAAGCTTCAGGAGAGTCAGGCTCGGAGGAGTGAGGCAGAGCAGGGCTGGGGTCAAGAACCCAGCTCTGGCGCCACAGATCCACACTCGGAGTCCCTGCTCTTCTCGTTACCTGCCAGACGATGCTTTGGCAGGAAGCTGGCACCCACTCAGTCACACAGTGTTGTTTGTTGCTGAGCGGACAAACGGGACAGGCACACGTTTGGGGAATCAAGAGGGTGGTGGCCATGCCAGCTCAAACCTGCCAAACCGGAGCCCTCCTCTGAAGACAACCAGATGAAGAGTATCTGGAAAGTCTGCAGCCCGGACCAGCGCTCCGACCCCAGCACCAACCGGAAGGCCGCCCACAAGGGCTGCAGAAGGGCTGGGGCTTGCACAGGGGTCCGACGCTGGTCTGTGCGTACCGGGCCCGGGCCAAGTCCTCACCCTGCGGGATCTGCGTGGCCAGTGGAGAGGAGATGGTGACGAAGTGGCGCTCCTTGCAGCCATAGTGCACGGGCATCTGGCGCCCCTTGCCCAGGTCGCTCGCGTTGCCATAGCACTGGGCCATGAACAGCTCCAGGGGGTAGTCCCGGTACATTAGCACACCTGGCGAGGAGGAGGCCGTGTGAGCCTGCAGGCGGGGTGGGGGGCAGACCGGCCCTTCCTGCCCGGGCTCCTGCTCCCTATAAAGACAGTCAGGGAAATGGATGCAAGCAGGGGAGGCAGAGTCGAATGCTCGTGGGGACCAGGCAGGTGAGCGGACAAAAAAGCACAGGCCTGTCCCAAAAGGGAGGCCACTGTTCTGACCATCTGACTACTGCTCAGGGAAGCCAGATGGCCCAGTTCTTCAAAAGAAGGCAAAATCTGGCTTACTTTTATTTTTTTTTTAAGGAGAAAATACCTGATTTTTATGTTTCAACTAATAAAATTACCTGATAAATTGTCATACGAACCAAATAATACTATTTGTCACACTAGGTCACAACTTCTGAACTAAAGAGCCAATACTCAAACATGTTTATGGCTGTAAAATCCTTTCTTCCAACAAAACCTCACCACCAAACGGAACCGCTCTGGGTGAAGGGGGCCTTGACTGCTAACTCAGAGGACAGGAGCGGGTGGAGATGGCCCTGGGATGAGCAACGACCCACTCTGGTGCCTGAAAAGGGGAATGATTGTCACACCCACACCTGAGGGGCAGCCCTGGGGATCAAGGACCTCCCTGGAAGCACCCAGAACCTGAGCATTACAGAGTAGAGGTGGTACATGCATTTCCGAATCTTTTTCTTTACTGCAGAACCCTTTCTTCGTCTGACAACTTACTGGGGATCACATACCATGGGAGTCACATTTTGTGCAGCGTTAAGCACACCTTCCCCAAATAACTGCCACGTGAATATAATATTTGGTGCCAAGTGCCTTTATTTGGAGCACTTTTCAGACATTAACTTGATCGATCCTCCCGACAACCCTCCGAGGGAAGTGGGATTATTCTCCCCATTTACAGATGAGGACACTGAGGTAGGCAGAGCTCCCATAACCGGCGGGCTGGAGTGCTAGTATGTCACATGGCTCACACTTCAGCACGGAGCCTGAGGAAGGGCGGCGGGGGGCTTGTCTGTTTATCTGCTAACGGGGAGCCACCGTCGAGACACGGTGACTGTGGCCCGGACAACCAGCTCTGCAAGTACGCCCCCCAAAATGAGAGTTGGGGTGAGGGTATTTGGGAAGACTTTAGCCTTCACCTTTCACGTAACTGGATGTGGGATTCTGTCACACAACACAAATTCACACCCAGTGTGGCCACGCTGTACCTAAAACAGATCAAAGAGGAGGCGCTCCGCTGAAGCAGAAAAAGGGGGCTGTGTGTGGCGGGGGGCTTCCCCACAGCGTGGTCCAGGGTCCACAGTCCACCCCGGGAGCACCCGCAGTCTGGGGCAGGAGCCGGCGGGAAGTGTGAATCCAGATTCCTGGGCCCAGGTGGTTCCGCACCAGGAAACCCCAGGTCCAGTGGCAGTTACTGCGCTAGACGGACACGTGCTGCCTCTAAGATCCTTTTTATGAGCCCGGTGCCACGGTCCGCACACCACACGCACCCTTGGTTTATACCAGACAGCCCTGCGTGGGCAGCACCACGGGGGGCAGCGCCGGGGCGGAGGAGCAAGGGCTGACTCCGGGAGACCCCTGCTCCCCTCCTCAGGAGGCGTGTGGCCTGGGCACGGGGACTCAGCCTCTTCGGCTTCCTACGCCCTGGCACAGACAGGAAACACGGCTGCCGGGGGACTCCTTCCTGCAGTGGGGTCGGGGCAGGTGAAATGAGGTCGAGCCTCCACTGCTTACCGCACGTGGAAGAGCACCTTGGCCTTTGAGACCCCAGTGAGTGTCAGCTATTGTTGTGAGCATCCTCGTTCTCCCCACCTCCAGGTGGGGACTGAGAGAGGTGGGACCGGGTGCAGGTCTGTGTGGCTCCCTCCCCACTGAGCACGCACCCCCTGCCGCTGTCCAGGCGGGACCTTCCTCAGGGGCCTCACCCCGTGAGGGTGCTTCACAACCTCATCTTTCAGCTCCTTCCGTCCTGTCACTCACTCGCTCAGAAGGGTGCCAGCTCCTGGCTGGCACTTCCAGGCCCTCCCATCTGCTCTGCTCCCTGAAGGACACAGAGCCTGGAGAGGCCAAGAGAGTCCCGTGCTGTGGACAGGGGTCCCTGTGCGTGTCCACCTGTAGCCAGGCTGCCCTCACTGCACACTGCTTGTATCCCTCAGGGCAGGGGTGGCAGTACCGTCATTAACTCCGCGTTGGAGACCAGAAAATGGAGGCTCCCAGAAGAGAAGCAACTTGCCCCAAATCTGCTAGCTGGTAACCAGCAGAGCACGGAGCGGTCGGGAGCACGGGCTCTTCACTACAACACTGCCTGGACTCCAGACAGCCCCACAAACTCCTGCCCCTGGCTTGGCTCATTCCTGCTCAGAAAGCTCTTCCTCTAGCTCCTTAGACCTCCCTGGCATCACGCTGCTCCTGGAAGAGCACACAGGGTAGCTAACGTGGGCCTCGCCTTCCCACCGGGAGGGACTGGGTCTGACTCGCCTCCATGGGGACCACAGACCCAGGGCCCCAGCATCTGCTCCGCAGGGCAGACATACCTGCCTCCCGGTACTGGCCAAACACCAGGTCCGTGCTGTCCAGCGCTGCCGCACTCCCCACATGTGTCCCCTCCTCGCCATAGTTGGTCATGTAGAAGGAGATCCGGCCCTGGGGGTGCAGGAGGGCCCGGAGGCCCGGGCTCAGTTATGCTGGGCAATGACAGGGAACCATCCAGATAACTGACCAGCTTCTGGAGACTTCATTAATCACCACACACTTCCTGGGCCAGGACAGGTCAGAGTTCCTGTCTTCCTGGAGGGACTGCCAGACTGCTTGAAGCCAGAGCAACAGGGCCATGCGATAGGAGGCCAAGCCGGTTGTCTGGCTCACCACAGAGGGGCCTCAGGGTCAAATGCCTGAGCCGAGCAAAGGTGAGGTTTCCAGGCAGAGGGAACAGTAAAGGCCATGAGGCCAGAATGGCTGGGGCAGAAAGTGGGAGGGGTGGGGACAGACCAACAGGGAGAGGCAGTGCCCAGGACCATAGTGAATGATCCGCATCCTGGACTTTACCCTGAGAACCGTACCCACGGTTCTTCTCAAGGGAGCAACATTTTAGAAAGGTCTCTCTGGCTGCCATGTGGAAAACGGATGGTGGAGACAGGACAGAGTGCAGCCAGCCAGGCCAGAGGGGGCGGTGGCCCGGGAGGGGCAGGGGGCAGGCAGAGGAGGGGCTGGGCGAGCCTTAAGAAGCAGAGTCAGAGTGCCAGGGAGCGACAGACCCTACAGGCTGGCCACACCGATGCCCTGGCCGGCTCCTTTCTCCTGGGCCCCCCAACCCTAGAGCCTGGAAAAGCCAGGTTCCCAATCTCCCCTACAGAGGTGACCACGGGACACAGATCCAGCCAGAGACTTAAGAAGTCTGCTTTTGCTTTCTCGACAAAAGGGCCCACGGGAGCTACAGCCAGGCCTTCTTCCCGCCCTGCACACGGCCATGAGGCCAGACCTGTGGCAGCCGTCTTGCGAAAATGAGGCAATAAGTGCAGAATGAAAGCCAACTCGCCCACGATGGGGGAGCAGAAAGGTAGGAAGTCTGGCTTCCTGACACGGTGCTGAGCAGCAGAATGGATTTCTAGGGTAAATGAGACAGGAGAAAGTGATGGCGGGGTGGAGAGAAAGGAGCAGGGATGAGATGCAGGTCTCTGGTTTGGGCAAATGGTGGGTGGCGGCAACCTCCACTGAGAAGTGCCCTGAGGGAGGAAGATGCCGAGGTCATGTCTGGACAGGCTGAATTTGGTGTGGGACATCCCAGGCGAGAAGCCAAGTAGATCTGGGGCTACGAGGTAGAGTCTGGCTGGCGATCTGGGGCACCCCTGGCACACAGACAGAACTGAGCTCCCCAGGACCACGTGTAAAGTGAAAGAGCTCACGCCGGGACGCGAGGGACGGCCACCGCCCAGTCCTCATGCGTTCTGCAGGCCTGGCTTCCTGTCATGGCGGGAGAACAGATGAATAGTGCTAGTGCTTTCTTCTAAGTGGGGAGCCAATTAAAAGTTAATGGGCCTCCCAGAGCCAAGTGGGCAGATGCTGGGTGCTGAAGGCCTGGGAGGGCTGTCAAGGGTGGTGTGGGGAGGAGCCTGCGCACCCTCCCACCCAGGAAAACAGGGCCTGGCGAGTGGCAGAGGTCGCTGGTTGCCTACCCAGTATCCTATCCCTCTTCCTGTTTGTTAACAGAGATCTCATTCCACAGGCAGCAGCCGCCCAGATGAAGAGACCACAGTGCGGCCTCCTTGCAGCTGAGAGCAACCTATGCAGTGTCAGATGCTACTGGGTGGGGCTGCCTGCAAAGTTCTAGAAAGGTGGGTATGGGAAGACAGCTGAGATACACCACGTCTGACCTGTCACTTTCCTTCCACTTCCTGCCTAGAATGAGGTGGGATGGAGGGAGCTCCAGTGGCTACTTGGATCATGAAGGGCCCTAGAAGCCAAAGCTGGGTATCCAGTGACATCATGGTGCCACCATACCAGCCCCAGACCACCTGTTTTTAGACTTCTTTGATGCAAGATGGAAAACCTAGCAATCTGTTTAAACTACTGCATTTGTTTTTGTTGGGACTGGGGTGGGAAGGGCCTGGGGAAGTCTGGTACGTACAGCTCAACAGAAGCCTAGCTAGCACAAGCTGAGCCTTGACGGGTGAGTTGATCTTACTGAGGCCTTCTCTGTGGCAGTCAATGGCCAAGGGGCTTTATGCGCTGGGCCTCACAGAAGTGAGGATTGATAGCCCCAACCTTGCCATCCCCCCTTTTTAATATACTGAAGAAACTAAGGCAAAGACAAGAAAAATCTCCTGCCCAAAGTCACACCTCTGATTGGACCCACATCCACTGGATTCCAAAGCCCCTGTTTATGTAGCCCACACAGGCATGAAGGGACCCAGGCACGTTGAGGCAGGGGAGGGATGGCCTGGCCCGGCAGTAAGGCTGTGGAGAGGGGAGCAGAGAGGGAGTGAGGCCACAGTGGAACAGGAAGGGCCAGACCTGACCCTGTGGGCTGGGGGAGCCCAGGGAAGTTTCTGGGCAGGTTTCAGGCCAAAGGTACTTACTACTCTGCCTTGGAGAACCCATACCCAGTGCCCTGTGAGTGGGAGAGTGGGAGAGTCTGCTCGGTCCTGTCCTACAGAACAGTGGGCCTTATGCTTTAGTCCACAGGGGGATGGCCTGGGGGCTTAACATAAATGCAGGCTCTCAAGCCCACCCCTGCCCCTGACCCAGCACAAAGGCCCACCACCCACTATTCTTCTCCCCCTTTCCAACAGGAACCCCAGAGCCCTGGGAAGGACGGATTCCACTGCTCTCTTCACTTGGTTCCTGGGGATGAGAGCATGGTCCTCCTGGCTGGGGACTGGTTGAAGGCAGGGTCTGTGACCAAAGCCCGGACAGTGAGCATTGGCCCTGGACTTTTGCTGGAACATTAGGGAGCAGACACTCTCTTTCCACTGCTCAGCAGAGAGGATAATCATTGTGAGGCTGACAGGGTTATGATAAGCAGGGTTATGATATACGATAAAGCTAATATTTACTGAGTGCTGGCTGAACGTCAGTTTCACTCTTTTTAAGGCCATCACATGTGCCACTGTCAATCCTTAAGCCAATGGCATGAAGTAAGTACAGACGAGAAAACTGAAGACCTGACAGATTAAGCAACTTTCCCAGGGCCGCAGAGCCACAGAGTGACAGATGAAGACGTTGGTTGCACAGTCCTGCTCCAGAGCCCACCCCCTGATCCCTTCTCTGCCACTTCTCCTCAAGCCTAAACCTTCAGAAACGACTGCTGCCTAATAATGAAGGAAGCCAGGGTGAAAGAGAGTAGAAAAGACACTGGGAGAAAAGAAATGGGTCTGAGAACATCGAGGCCCCTGGATCCAGCTGTGCCTGAAACCAGACCTTCTGAACTTGGAAATTATTTGAGTCAGTAAATTGCCTCTTTGTTAACACTGCTTTGATTGGGTCTCTGCCCACTGACACAAACACTGCTGAGGCTCACGGCACATCTGACACAGGCAAACCAGGAAGCACAGAGGGTCACCCTGTTTCTCAGGGCTGTGAGCTCCCAAGGGGAAGGCCCATCAGGTACTCTCTGCCTGTACTCTCTTGGCACAGCCAGGCCACCAGCCAGGTGCACAGGAGGTATTTTTAGTGATCTGGTCCATCCTTCTGCCCGTGGGCAGTACCCTTCCCACACTCTCCCTCCAGAACACCAAGAGAGAACCCCAACAACTTTAAGGACTCCAAGACAAAGGATCTCCATTCTACCCTCTCCTCCTTGGGAGTCATCTTCTGGCCCGAACACAGGCAGGGCGACCTCAGGTAATTCCAAGCCTCCCTCCCCAGCCTGTCTCCACGCACCTGCCGCTGGGACTCGTAGAGGATGCGGTCCATGGTGTTGAGCAGGGTCATGCTCTTGTAGAACTTGAGCACCGTCTCCTGGGGCAGCTGCAGGTGGAGGCACAGACAGATGTAGGCCAGGTGGGACCAGAGAGGAGATGGACAAGGGGCCTGGGTGTGGGAGGCACAGGGTGGGAAGGAGGGGGCCTCTCACGTGGGGATCCTCGCTGGGGTTGATGATCTGGCCCTGCCGGTCCATGACGCGATAGACGGGGATCCCAGAGATGACATTGGGCTGGATGAATTCTAGCTTGTCTACAAACTCCGCCGAGGCCCCGGGGAACTGGGGCTTGTCATCCAGGGATGGAAAGTGCTGCTGCTCCTGCCTCTGGGGGTGCTGGGGAGAGAGGAGGGTGAGGGTGAGGGTGAGGGTGGGGAGACCCATGTCAGGAGCAGCAGAGGTTCCCCTGGCTCAACCTCATAGAGGCAGGCAGTACGGGCAGGCCCCAGAGGACCCTGGGGCCTGATGCACAGGGTACAGATCCCAGCTCTGCCACTTTCTCGACGTATGACCTTGGGCAAGTTACTAGAACTTCTTTATGTCTCAGTTCCTCATCTGTAAAACTGGGGTGAAAATAACATCTAACCCACAGGGTAGTTGTAAACACTAAATGGCTCAATAAAGTAGTAGGCAGATCAAGAACTGGCAGCTGTTACATCAGAGGCCCAGACGCTTCACCCTGGCATTCAAGGCCTCCCCAGTCTGGCCAGATATACCCTCTCTCAATCTCCCACCGCCATCGCAGGCATCGCAGGCACACCCTCCCCCAGCACCCTTGAATCAGCCAGACAGGCTCTTCGCTGACCCTGTATAAGCAGGCAGCCACCCAGAATTGAGTAAGTCTGTGAGCTCTGAAGTGTCAGCCTGCCTGGGTTCAAACCCTTTGCTGGGTGACCACAGGAAAGCGACTTCCCTTTTGCACCTCTCTCCCTTCCCATCTGTAAAAGGGAGGCGACCTCACAGACATGTCATGAGGCTCAGGTGAGATCATGCACATGAAACAGTACTTGCATACTTGTAAGTCGTACAGCAAACACTCAGACAAGTATGGATTATCACTTCGACCACCACATGACTACACTTGGCTCTTTACTAGAATGTCTCCCCACCCCCGCCGCCCGCCAACTTCCATGCTTCAGTGGCCTCTCCATTCCAGTCCTAACCCCCACCCTCCAGGCCCAGACTGACGCATTCAACAAATATTTGAGCACCTGCTTTGTTCCAAGCCCTGTGCTAGGTTTGGGGGACCTTAGAGAAGTCAGACATCTGTCACTGCTGCCCAGCAGGGAAGACAGCTGCTGAACAAGTACAGCTGAGGCTGAGTCGTATTCGCCCAGGAGAAGCCTTGAGTGCGGCAGAGTGGAAAGGAGCCAGGCTTCTCTGAAGAAGCAGCATGAAAGCAGGAGAGCTGGAGGACAGCTAGGAGTCAGGGCAAGAGCACCAGAGGCCGGGGGCACAGAACACGCAAAAGGCAGGACGTGAGGGATGGCCTGTCACTTGCGTGTCGCTTGCGGAACCTAGAAGGAGTTCAGAGTGGCTGGTGGGGGGCGTACCACCTCCTCAGCGGGCTGGGAAAGCCCTGGAAAAGGCCATGAGAAGCCTCAGGCACTGCAGGGTGAGAGCCCACCCCACTTCTCAGCTCTGGAGCTGGGCAGCCGTGAACTGGTCTCTCGTCTTGGTGCTGCTCCCCTTTATCAAGCACCTGCGGGCTGCCAGCTGAGCTCTGTGCCCACAATCTCACTGAGCCCTCAGCGCATGTCTGAGGCAGAGACTCTCTGCCGTGGCCCTTGAGGACTGAGGAAGCGGAGATACTGAAGGAGGTAAAATCACCTGCACCAGAGCTAAAAGTGGGTAAGTCAAGACCGGGCTTCCATCCCAGGCAGGGCAGGCATTCAGACCCCCAAGCCACGCTCCTAACCCAACAGCCACAGCTGACCCGGTTTCCACCATCTACAGCTCACTTCCCGTGACCGCTAGGGATTGTGGCTTCACCTCCAAGAGGAGCCAGACAAGAATGACCCAGTTTGCCATGCGCTGGATCTCACACGTGTGCACCCAAGTGTGTCCCCCACTCCTCCTCCTCTAATTGCGGAGAAGCATCCAAGGATCCAGCGGGCGAGCGTGAGCACCAGTGCATTTATCTGCATTTATGGTTGTGAGGAAATAGAGGAAATTACACTCTCAACGGCAGGGCAGGTCCAGGCCTGCCAACAGCATGGCAGACTTCCCCTCCGCTCGCAGGGGAAGCAGCTGAGCGCTTGCAGCCCGGGCGTCCCCCTGCTGAGCACCCAAGGCCGGACCTCTCCGTCCACCCAGAGGATCAACTGTCTGCCTCCCACACAAATCACAAACTCCCGGAGGGCGGGGAGCGTGTCTGGGTTGGTTTACACAGCAGGCACTCAACAGGCCATTATTGAAGGGACGGATGAATGAGCGGCTAAGTTCACGGGCTTTGGAGGCTGACCGACCTGGGTGCCGGTATCTTAGCTTGCCCAGTGGCTCTATGCAAAACACACTGTCCCTGCGAGGTTCCTCATCTATAAGAAGGCTGCATGGGGCTGTTGTGAAAAGTTCCTGAGATGAGACACACAAAGGGCTCAGCACAGGCCTGGGACACATTATGAGCTTGGTAGAAAGGGAAAAAACCCAAATCTGACAGGTAGGAAACGGGGAACACAAAGTGGCCGGCACTTTGGGAAGAGCTGGAGCGAAGGATGGGCAGCACCGCGAACAGGACCATAGCAGCAGACAGACCACGGAAGAGGAGGGCTTTAGGTGAGGGGCCCACAGGGGGCAGAGGACAGGGTTACAGGCTGAGAACAGACTGGGCTGTTAGGACAGGACTCTGCCTGCCTCCAGAGGCTGGAGAGCCGCCATCAGGGCACCCCGGCGCACCCCCGCTCTGGACTGGGGCCTTGCGGGCTTGGGGGAGGGGGACCTTCCTTCCTGGGCCCGAGGAGATGCTGGAGTACCTACCCCAGGGTTACTGAGCTGACTGGGTGAGAGGCCAGCCACAAGGAAATGCAATCCATGGGAGGGGTGGTAAAACGCCAGAGGAAGGATGTGACTCCACCTACTTTTTCCTCAGATTTTGGCGGGCGCAGGGGTGGGTTTGTGCCGGTGGCCAGTAACTGACAATGGCAGAGGCTACCAAGCCTTGCTGCCACATCCCCTCCCACCACACTGGAAACAGGCCAGCTCTGGGTGGTCCGGTCTGCCCTGCAGGTACTGGGGTGCCCCCATGGAGCCACTCCCTCTGGCACCAAGGCTAAGGTTAAGACTCCCAGCGGAGTAGACTGCTGCCTCCTGGCTGTGTACCTAAAGCTCCCTGAACCTGTTTCCTCCTCCATGAACAGTGGGATGAGTAACTATCTCAAGGGTCACCAGGAGGATTAAACGAGTCAATGTGTGCGGAGTGTTCAGCCCAGTGCCCGGCACATAACGAACACTCAGCAATTACAAGCAGCTAACAAGCATATCTGATGATCGCTATTGTCCAGCAGGTAGCTACCAAATAGTCCACGCGGGGCCCTGTACAGGCTGGAGATGAGAGAGTGAGATGGGTGACAACACTGAACACACAGGTGACAAGTGGGGGCAGGACAGACTGGTGGTCAGCCACACGGCAGGGTAGCATGAGGGCCTCCCTCCCTTTCCGGCGGCGTCACCTTGGCTCCCTGAACCTGTGTCCCCTTGTGGAAATGACAAGAATTACTACCACAGGTCTGGGGTGACGTGGGTACAGAGCACCCGCTGTGGCTCTAGGGGGGAACTTTTGCTACCAGCATCAGAGGGCACATGAGGAAAAGCTTTCTGGAGAAGGGGAGTGACGCCAACCTGCTGGACCAGCAGGGGTGAGCCAGGCAGAGGCTAGGGGGAGGAAGGCGTCAGTCCCCGGGAACTACCAAGGCTGAGGCAAGAGGGGAGAGCCTGGCAGTGTGGGACCCTGGGGACCAGTAAGGCTGCAGCACGTTAATAACAGTAACTCGTTAGTAACAACAGCTAAGTCGGGGCCACGCAAAACACTTCCTGGTGCCCATATGCTCTCCGCACCACCCGGTGAGGCAGGCACTATTGTCTCACCTCAGTACAACAGGGGTGGCCCTGAGGCTCAGGGGGGTTCAGTGACTCGTCTAAGGGCAGGGAGATCGTGAGGGGTGATGTCAGCATGCGAAGCCAGCCAGCCTGACTACAGCTGCCTGAGGAGGCTGGAGAGAAAGGTGGGGTCCAGCCGTGGAAGGTTTTGTGGATGGTGCCGGTTAACCGAGTCCTCTGTATCGAGGGTAGCCAGGGCCCCCCCAAACCCAGGGGCTTTAGCAGCACTATGCCCCCTGAGGCACTGCAAGTGGAAGGCCCTGAGGGAGGCCATCCTTTCCTGACCATACCAGATTTACTGTCCCTGGAGAAAAATTACAGCCCCCATTTCCTGAGACCTTACTGAGTGCTTGGGAAATGTGGCAACTGCTTCCTAGGAACCACTTCCTTTCACCTTCCCATCTCTCTGAGGGAAGTACTGCCGCTGCCCCATTTTACAGATGGACACTGGTGTTGGGGCCAGGAAAGCTTCTCCGAGGAAGTGGCCTGTCAGCCGACATCGAAGGACCATCGTCCTACAAAGGCCTTCAGGTGGAAGGAGCTCATCCACAGGAGGGGAAAAGGGCCGGTGGGGCTGAGGCGCAGGGAGGGAAGGGCACGGGGAGCTGAGGCTGGCGCCTCCACACCAGCACCTCACCAGACCCAAGGGCCGCAGGCAGAAGCTGGGGACACGTGCCAAGACCAGATGGAGCAGGATACTGCAAGACTTAAACCGAAGCCCAATCGCTTCTCCTGGCAGCCTGGTACTGCGAGGAGAAACGGGGCTTTAGAGTCCTGAACTCCAAGTTCAGACCTCACCCCGTGAGCCTCAGTTTCCCCACTCATGTCAGGAGAAAACTACCAATACCTTGGCATGTGACTGTATTACGTATAGTAACGGTTTGGTAGTGTAAACCACGAAGGGCTTCCTGATGTGAAAAAAGAATCCGGGGGGGG